ATAGCGGTGTGGAGTGTGAGTCTGTACAACAGTAGAGTCGTATAAGTACAGCAGTGAGTCGTTCAAGTGCAACGGTAGAGTTGTTCAAGTGCAGCAGAGAGTCGTTCAAGTGCAACTGTATAGAGTCGTACAAGTGTAACTGTAGCGTACAAGTGCAACCAGTCGGGCAAGTTCCAGTAGTCAAAGCCATAAAGCATCAACTACTGGTAATACCAACAACCCAAATCAATGCCAAAGGTCAAGCACACGCGATGCTCAGCAAACATACTGCCAACTCACTGCTCAGCACACATTGCCAACTCACTGCCAACTCACTGCCAACTCACTGCCAACTCGCTAACTCACTGCTAGCTCAGCTCGGGCTTGTCGTCGTCGCCCGTCACGGTCTGGTCCTCGCTGACCACCGAGCCTGCGTCCGTCTCGAGCTCGTTCTGGTCCTCCTTGGCCCCCGGGGCTGATGCCACAGCCGCTGCCACAGCTACCGCTGCGGCACCCTCCTCCTCGTCCTCCTCTCCCTCCAGCCCATGCGATACCACCTCGTCCTCTCCCAGAATCTGCACGTACTCCTCGGGAATCAGCCCCGTCTCCTCCGTGTCCAGGTTCATGGCCACCAGCCAGCCCTGCCCGTGGCGGTAGTGCACCCACACAATCTGGCCCTGGAACAGCCCGATCTCGTTGTCGTTTTCGGGCTCAAAGTCGAACAGCGCGACCGCCCGGCCGTTGAGCTCCGAGTCCAGCTCCGCGTCCACGTCCGAGTCCTCGAAGTACGGCGGCCCCTCGCCGATCCCCGGCGGGTACGCCAGCTCGTCGTCCTCGTCCACCGAGCTCGACACCACCGACATGCTCTGCCGCGCGCCAAAGAACAGCGGGTGCTGCGGCGGGTACCCAAAGTCGCGCACGATGGCGTAGTCCAGCGACGAGTGGAACTGCAGCGCCGCGAGCTCGAGCTTGAGCGGATCGCCGGACGACTGCGAGATGCGCGAGCCCCGTCGCGACGACTCGCTGAGGTCTGGACGAGACCGTCGGTAGTACGGCGACTGCTCCGCGGGATACGGCTTGGAGGGCGAGTCGCGCGACTCTCCAAGATCCGACAGCGTCGACAGCCGGTGCGTGGATATGCGCAGCTTGTGCGACGCTATTGGCTCTGAAGTGGTATCTCTGTCCAGCGTCACAGCGCCCAGGCCCTCGGCGACGGCGAGGACGGGGTGCGTGTCCGCAGCCTGGCTCGTGTTCGCAGCCTGGCTCGTGTTCGCAGCCTGGCTCGTGTTTTCTGCCATTGGTTTTGTGTTTGTCAGTGTGGTGTCGATGGAGTCGATGGAGTCGTGTGGCAGTGTTGAAGTACTGGTTTGTATAGTCAGGCGAAAAGTCCCGAGCTCTTTTTTCTTGATTCGTTCGTCGTAATGGCGACTGCTGCTGTAGAGGCGTCTGTTTCGGTCACAGAAGCCGTAGTCTCGTGTAGTCGCACACTCTGGTGTTCTCGCTTTGGGCTAACACAATGCGCCATGTAAGGTAAAGTGAGGATTTCAGCGGCGCTGCGGTCGTGGGTTCAACTCCGGGGGAGCACAGCGGCGGGACGCGGAAAAATGCACCTTTGAGGGCACTGTGGGGCTGGCGGGGGCTCCCCCGTCCGCGGGCTATATATAGCAGCAATTATTGCTCTTCCAGCGCCAAATTAGCCGGCCCTTTCTTCTCCAGCTCCACTCTAAAGTGGCGGCGCCTATAATACTGTTACTAAAAATGGCTGCTTAACTGCGGACAAAGGGTGGCGTTAATACCCCTCTGTGAAATTGAAACATTTTGAAGTGGTTCCTATAAGAGCTCTCCAGAAAGCTGCTGTGCAAGTTCAGTACAAGTTCAGTATCCGTACAACTAAGCCGTCATACGGTAGGGTGGAGGTGTGGCTTGGTTCGGCTCTTATAAGTACATTGGTACTTCAGCATATTATTCCCATCCTTTTTTTGGTCCTTGAGACATCTGTCCACTCGTAATGCCCGTAATGCTGTCTATTTATACTGCAATTAGTTTCAAACTCACCGTCTAATGGGGAAGCTGGCTTGCCTTTTCCACCTCAGCTGCACCCGATAACCAAGATTTACAGCTTGGGACGCATGAAATTATCACCACCACTCATCATCACCATTACATTTTGACAAGCGTCTGAAACGGCGAATAAACCTGAAGAACCGAGCACAGATTCATTTGCATACAAGTACCGATACTTTGAAACACATCGGAACACACCAACTCACACTCTTCATTCATCATAATCGTCCAACATGACTACAGCTCATCGACCGACGTTTGACCCGGCGAGAGGAAAGGCCAACACCCAGGCCGCCGGCTCCATCTCGCACACACGTTCTCTGCCCTCGCACACCAAGCTCAAGTACCGATCTGCGCAGGTGGTCACGGACACAGAAGCCCTGAAGAAGACGCTTCTCGAGAGCGAGGGAGGACTCAAGCAGGCCGCCACAAAGCTCGTGGCCGACCAGGAGGCCGACGAACAGGCCGACGAGCCCGTTGCCGTCGCAGAGACTGAAATCGGCGAGGAGGAAAGGGCCAAGATCATTGAGGAGAACAGGGACGACGACGACTCTGGATCTGACGATGACGAGTCCGACTCAGACGATGACGACTCGGACTCGGACGACGAAGACGAGCTGCTGCGTATCGAGCTCGAGCGTATCAAGCAGGAGCGAGCTGAAGCCAAGGCTCGAGAGGAGGAGAGACTCGCTCTGGAGGAAGAAAAGGCTCGAGAAGAGCAGGTGGCGTTTGGAAACCCGCTGATGAACCCCGTGGCTATCAAACGAAAGTGGAACGAGGACGTGGTGTTCCGCAACCAGACCAAGCAGGCCCGTAAGGAGGACAGCTACGTGAACGATCTCATTCGATCCGATTTCCATCGCAAGTTCATGAACCGGTATGTGAGGTGATGGAGCGGTACATTGCATTTAATTTATATTTAACGTATTTCTATTACAAACAGTTGGTTTCTTTCGTATTTTTCAGTCCTATTTTTTAATTCGTTTACTGTCAATTATTTATTTTCATTTCATTTGTTCAATTTAATTAATTATTGGCAATTACTTCACTGTACATGGCCAACCCTAACCGCAGTCCCAAATAATCAAGCGTGCACTCAAACTCCCAAGTTACCCGGTCTGAAAATTTCTCCCTTATAAGACCCACGTCACAACCTTCCTTCTCCTCATTCCACCACAACAAACGTATGTACTCCGCACCTGTTTTCCTCACTAGAAAATCGTGGTCGTGTGTTGAACCTGTTTATGGAAGACGGTGGTATTGCCGCTTTCTTTGATTGACACTTCAACGCTCTCCACGACACTTCTAGTGTGGCGTTGCTCCGCAACATGCCACATGAAATCCCTCGGGATACTCTTGTGGTTTTCGCTTACTAACAACAGGCCCTTCTCTCACAATGACCCGAACCTCTGTTCTCGCTGACGCCCTCAAGTCCATCACCAACGCCGAGAAGGCTGGTAAGCGACAGGTCCTGATTCGACCCGCCTCCAAGGTCATCATCAAGTTCCTGCAGGTCATGCAGAAGCACGGTAAGTACTGCTTACGCTGGCGAGCCTCGTGGCTCGTCTTCCTCTTGTTTTTCATAAACACCCGGGCTGATAACTGGATGGATTGTCTGAACACTGTCTCTCTCTGTCTTTTAATTGTCCGGGAAATCAATAAAGGCACTTACACGCTGTCACTGAAACCCTCTGGTGTTCGGTGTTTATATGCCGGTTACATTTCTTCTCCTTGCGAGAATTGCTGCATTTTCGAATGTCTTTACTAACTGCAGGTTACATCAACGAGTTCACCTACGTCGATGACCACCGATCCGGCAAGATTGTTGTCGAGCTGAACGGCCGTCTCAACAAGTGTGGAGTCATCTCTCCCCGGTTCAACGTCAAGATTGACGACATGGAGAAGTGGGTCCAGAACCTGCTGCCCTCTCGACAGTTCGGTTACATCATCCTGACCACTTCTGCCGGTATCATGGACCACGAGGAGGCCCGAAAGCGACACGTCGCCGGTAAGATCCTTGGTTTCTTCTACTAAACAGTTTGGTAGAGAGCCACCCCCAAAAGACGCTTTCGTCACTACTGTATTTATAATAAAACTATTTACCTTAGCAGTTGTGTACGACGTAGAGGCGAATTGCTAGTGTTTTTAGATGGTATTTGGTATGTTTGAGGTGCTTGAGTATCATGATTAGTTCTTACTCCATGCTGAGATCGAGTATTCTATGCTGATATCGGACACTCTATGCTGAAATCATACTCTATGCTGACATCAGATACTCTATGCTGAACCAGATACTCTATGCTGAGCATATAATCTATTCTCGGAAGGTAATCTATGCTGAATCTCGTGATTTATGCTGACTGGATAATCCATGTTAGATCTGATGATCTATGCGATCTCTGATCTATGCTGAATCTGATGATCAATGCTGAGTCTAATAATCTATGTCGAAGCAGATAGTCTATTCTGAACCAGGAGAAGCTACAAAAAGTTGGTTGGTAGAAGAGACAGAGAAGTAAGGTACATATCTTTCAATAGTGAAACTGTTTCATCTTGAATCACGGACTACAGGTTACTTGTCGTATGCCAACAAAGATGAGCTCAAAGATGGATATGAGAGCATACTCACGTCATTAACAGTGCCACAAAAAGCCACCCAATCCAAAACCCCTGATTCGCCGTATTTATAGCATCCTGGAAGCACTCTTTGGGTCTAAAATGGTGATAATGCTAGGTGGAATTGCAGATGCAGATCAGCCCGATTTTCAAAACGCCATATCTAGTTCAGTTTTGAATAGAATTTTTTGCAAGTTCAAATTCGGTGTAATTGGACACGGTTCTATTTCACAAGCCTCTTGAATACCCCGTAAAACCTCCCGATCGCGAGAAAATCGTCGGCCGGGTAACCCCATGTTTTTCACTGTTGCGACGCCAAATTATTAGGTTTTTTAAGTCCCGCCTTTGTAGCTTAGGGGTAGAGCGTTGCACTTGTATTCTAATATCGGAATGCAAAGGTCACTGGTTCGATTCCAGTCTGAGGCATTTCTTTTTCTGGTGGACCCAGATTGTATTTTTTGGCGAGCATCGACGAGAATCGATTCTACGACGCTCCACATTTTTCCCCTCAATAATACTCTGGAACTACCTGCCTTACTCAGCTTCCGCTCCTCTGCATGCGTTAGTTGGAGGCGCAACTTTGATCTTCTCCCAAATAGGCACTTAGAGCCCTATTGAGCGGGAGATGAAAGTCAAAAGGCGGGGTGCGGAGTCCGAGGGCGTCTTAGAGCTCTGTGGAGGGTTGCTTTGCGGCAAAATCTACTGCTTGCATCGCAATAACCACGCGGTGACTCACTTTCTTGTTTGTTTCACCGTTGGTTGGGTCTGTTAAACAGAGTCCTGAATAAGGTACGGAGACCGATAGAGAAGACGACCAACCAGCAGACGAGATAAGCCCTCGGGCTGAGTAAACTGCGAAACAAAGGTGAGCCTGGAGCTCGTTTCCAGGCGTATCGCTCGGGGCTAAGGTCGTCCAGCATGTCCTTCCCACTTACTAGTGCCAAGCGGGGAATATTCTCGGGTATCAGTGCATGATCCTGCGTCGCCAAGTCGGTTTTTCTACGGCGTTGGTATCTGGAAGTGGATTCATTGACGTTGACAAATGTCGGAGAACGACAAACGAACGTTCTCTGTAGATAGCACCACATTAACTGACTCGGAGAACCCCAGGTTATTGCTCCGCACAGCCCAAGGTTTGGCGGCCATGCACACACGCCAGGCTTTAGGTGCTTTTGGTCTCAGATAGACACGGTTAGGGCCTGAGAGTATAAGTATCTCGCGGATCGCTGAGCGAACAAGCCACCACTGCACCATGGATCCCGAAAAACAGCAGCTCAAGGCCCTCCAGATGCCCGACTTCGAGGCCCAGGCCCCCAAGGCCCCCCAGCCTAACTGGATGAAGCGAGGCCTCGTTGCCGCCGTCTTCGGCATGGCTCTCCTCAAGTTCTCGCACGTCTCACGGGACTACTACTCGTCGCGACCCGAGGTTCTGGGCTTTGCCGCCGTCGACGGCAAGTGTCCTTCGCAGCCCAACCTCGTCCCCCAGGGCTACACCAACCTGGACTTCATTCTGCACGACGACCAGTTCGCCGAGGAGGAGCTCAAGCGGTTCTCCGGCGCCATCCAGGTGCCCACGCAGTCGTACGACGATCTGAAGCCTGTCGGCGAGGACGAGCGATGGGACGTCTTCTACAACTTCTCGTCGTACCTCGAGACCGCCTTCCCCTACGTCCACAAGCACATGACCGTGGACAAGGTCAACACCCACGGCCTGATCTTCACCTGGGAGGGCTCCGACTCGAGTCTGCAGCCTCAATTGGTCATGGCCCACCAGGATGTCGTTCCTGTGAACAAGGAGACCGCCAAGGACTGGACCCACGGCCCCTTCTCGGGCCACTACGACGGCAAGTACGTCTGGGGACGAGGTTCCGTGGACACCAAGAACTCGCTGATCGGCTCTCTGTCTGCCGCAGAGCTGCTGCTGTCCCAGGGCTTCAAGCCCAAGCGAACCCACGTGTACTCGTACGGCTTTGACGAGGAGATCTCCGGCCGAAACGGCGCCCTCAACATGGCCAAGTTCCTGGTCGACAAGCACGGCCCCAAGTCCTTCTTCTCCGTCGTCGACGAGGGCAGCCTGGTGGTCGAGGAGGACGGCTACGCCATGCTGGTAGCTGCCACTGGCGAGAAGGGCTACGCCGACCTCCAGATCTCCGTCTCTGCTCCTGGAGGCCACTCTTCCATGCCTCCTCCCCACACGGGCATCGGTCTGGCGGCCCAGATCATCAACGAGATCGAGGACACCCCCTACCGGCCCGAGCTGACCCCCGAGAACCCCATCTTCTACACGATGCAGTGCGTGGCCACCCACGACAAGGGCATCTCGCCCAAGCTCAAGTCCTTGATCCAGCGGGCTGGCAAGGACCGGTGGGCCAACCGCAAGCTCGTCGACATTCTCTACCACAACCCCAAGTACCGGGACCTGATCCGAACGACGCAGGCTCTCGATCTCATCAACGGAGGAGTCAAGGCCAACGCTCTGCCCGAGACCACGCTCTTCCTCATCAACCACCGAATCGCCATCGAGCACAATGTCCACGACGTGCAGAAGAAGGTGACCCGAAACGCCCACAAGATCGCCAAGAAGCACGGACTGTCTCTCAAGGCCTTTGGCGAGGAGATCATCGGCGACAAGGACGCCAAGGGAGCCGTGGAGATCGACTTCTTCGGCCACCCCCTGGAGGTCGCGCCTCGAGCTCCCACCTCCGGACCCACCTGGGACCTCGTCATGGGCACTGCCATGCACGTTTTCCGAGACGCCGTCATCCCCAAGGAGAAGGAGGTGTTTGCTGCTCCCGGTATCATGACCGCCAACACGGACACCCGGCACTACTGGGAGCTGTGCGACGCCATCTACCGATTCAACCCCGTGCGAGAGACGTCTGCGTTTGGTATCCACACCGTGGACGAGCATATCGAGTTCCAGGCGCATCTCGAGACGGTGGCCTACTTTTACGAGCTGGTCCGAAACTCTGGAGGCGAGAACTAGCCAGAGACTTATTTAATAGTGTAATGAGTTGTTTTGTTGTTTTATTGTGGTATGGTGTATTGCTGTATTGTGGTATGGTGTATTGCTGTATTGTGGTATGGTGTATTGTGGTATGGTATCTTGTTGTTATACTTCGTAGTTGTACGGATACTGGTTATCCAAATCATTACTTGGAAATACTTAGATTAGGTTTAGACTTTGGAACCTTGCGCTAATAACCGTAACTAGACTTTAGACTATTAGATAAGCAAACCTAGATGCAAGGGCGATATCGTGAGCCTTGGAGGACACATCCCGCCCGAGTAGCGCAATGGTTAACGCGTTGGACTTCTAATCCAAAGATTGTGGGTTCGAGTCCCACCCCGGGTGCTTAGATAAGCCTCTAGGACGCAAGCAACTTCGACAGTTGTTTGCAGCTCTTTTTTCGCCGGCATTTGCGTCTGCTTAGGTAAGATTTTGGTAGGGTGCGAGGTGGTGATGAGGAGAGTGATATTGTTCCAGGATATGTTAATTTTGTTGATATTGGGTGTATTTAAGGCTTCATCTCATTTTTTACGGCATTATTCTTCTCGGTCTCTTTTTTCGTCATTTTCAATTTTTGCCTGCTTTTGACCTATAGATACCCATTGGGATGTGTATGGGTTGATGGAGAGGATATGAGTCAGCAGGGAGTGAACAGGGTCATTAGTCATCATCTCCTCTGAATTCTGAATTGAGTCCACAACGTCAGGCACCAAGAGCTTGATTCTTCAGGCACAATACTCTGTCTCAATGTCTAACCCTGCCGTGCTACTCATAAAGTCACGATGAAGACAGGCAGCACAACTCGTTTTGTCATTACGGAGGCAGCCTGAGACCGACGAGACCCAACAAAGACAGTCTCAGGCGCTCCAAGACAAGGGACCCACTAATACAGCCTCAGTTGCTGCCCTTAAGCTCGTTTTTTCTCCAGTCTTCTCTGTACGTCTGCCATGCGCCTACGGAGGCGTATTCGTGGAGGGCACCACACATGTACAATGATTCAGGATCGTCGCGCGCGGACGGGCCAATGGGTCGTGAGACTCGGGTTTCGTGCCCGGCGTGTCTGAGACGAAACACTGTCTCACTCGTAATGTAGCTATTCTTCGGGTATTGTCGAGCCGCACGTTTTGACGGAAGAGCTTGGAAGCAAGAGCATGGGCTGTTTTCGTACAGGCTATTCCGGCGTGAGAAAGATAAGGCAGCGCTGCAAGAGCACCAACGGCCTGAAAGAGCAAGGAAAAAACAGCGCAGGGGAAAAAAGACGCACCCGGAAATAGCTGGCCAACAAGTCAGCACACACACCCTCACGAGACTACGTATAGACGAGGCCCGTGACGGCAATTGAGTTGAGTCTCCGAGGATTAGCTTAGCTCTTTGACTCAATTCCACCAGCTTCCATCCTTTTTCAGAGAATAGAATTACGGTTGCACAATTTTAGCGTGTCTGTTGTACGAGGTCAGATCGGGTTTTCTGGTCGAGCAGGGGGAATTGACGAGGATCGAGTTCGAATCGGCGATATTTTGAGCAGAATCAGTTGATTTCCGACACCCGAATTCTCATTTTCTTCCAGGACATCCCAAAATAGCAACGTCCGGCAACAGTGAGGGAAAATTAGCTCTTTGTTCGTGTGCGTGAAAAAGCGACAACATCTCCAATTGAGCGCCCTGGGGCAAACGGCTGAAGCAGAGGCACCTGCCTCGAGCTCCGCGTACTCCGCTTTACTCCAGGCGTCAAAAAATGCCTCCATCTACTTCCTCGTGGCCTGTCGATTGACGTCATGCTAAGGTTAAGCGGCTCTTTGCCATGCGGCTCGAAAATTGTCTCATCAGTAGGCATCACTTGGTGCACGGACTGATCGGAAATGAGGTGCCCTTGGCACAGTAAAGCAGCAAAGGGCGGATTATCTGAGGATCCGGGAAGCTGGAAAATCGCTCTGGAGGCCCAATAGTGGCCCAAAAAGCCCGCGGGAGCTTCCGGAAGCTCCGCAAAGCGCCGGGCCTGACACCCATGTTCCATGGGGTTCTACAGCGCGTCTACAGCTCTTTTTTCCAAGGTGTTCCACAGCCCTCCGCAATTGGGTTTGCCACCACGCACATTATTTCCAACAGCTTCCAAGTCGCTTAATTGACTTTTAGATAGGCTCTGGGCGTGCATATGGCGCATAGAGTTGGATCTTCTCCAATGTTCCAGAGACCAGCTCCATCGTGACAGACGGTAGTATATATAGGGGTGGGAGGCTCCGTCTTCCGCCCACTACCAAAAACATCAACAACCATGCCTAACACTTCTGTAGGAATTGACCTGGGTACCACTTACTCTTGTGTGGCCCACTTTGCCAACGACCGAGTCGAGATCATCGCCAACGACCAGGGTAACCGAACCACCCCCTCGTTCGTTGCCTTCACCGACTCCGAGCGAC